CAACCGTGGTTGGATGTTCAGCAAAAGACTACTACTCACTCTGAAGCATATGTTTAAATTCTGATCGCGTTCTAATGAGAAAATATGTTTGTGTGTCTTACGGGAAGTAGCAAAGCCACAAAAGGAATACCCCTTTAGAATCTAACCTAACAACAAAGAATTCAAAAGTATACTTCAGAAACAAATACAAAAACAAATAATTAATCTTAAGAGAGACGCCCATTCGAGAGTATATTGGTATGATAACTAAACAGTTGCAAAAACAGCAGTGTTATTGACCAGTAGTTTAAACCCAAAGACGGAGAGAAATCACTGAATCTTGTTGGTGCCTACTCAATCGATGAATGACCAGAAATAATCCGTTAGGTTTCAAACATGATGAGCAGCAAATGCAGCTTGAACATAAACTTAAAAATGTCTACCCAATGGTTGTGACCACACTGACATGTGACATCAGTTCACGAAATTATCGACCATTACAATGAGACGTTTCAGTAAATGCAGACTTCCTAGTGGGGATTCGTGTAGTAATGGTAATTAATAAATCAACATCGGGAAACATGGCTGACAGCTGATCACAATGATGCAAATGGATTAACTCCGCTTCTTTAGATCATAAGCTTCTTAATTAACTCGAAGAAACCTTTATTCTACAGAACCATATTTTCTTGTCTATCTATTCATCATCATAAGTCGTGTTTAATGGAACTGTATTTAATGCAGTACTACTTCAGTCACATGTCACTATCACATGTTGATAATTGCAAGTTAAGCCTTAACATTTTAGAACTTGCACAAGTTAAAGATGTTGGTGTCGCTTGACAGATTTTGAGATTCTGTATATGTGTGAGTTTGTCTTGGAATATTTTGCTTATCAGAGAGACAGACATACAACGCAGAACTTCGTACGTAAGTACATCAGTTCAGGTTGCCATACAACGTCAGCGCAGAGACGCAACTGTCAGTTGAAATCCAAGAGTGATAGCGATAGTAGAAGTATTAGCACTAATGCAGAAGATTAGGGAGCGAAAATATGATTCGTGATAAATTTAGAAGGAGAATGATAGAGATTTTGAGGAATGCAGGTTATAATTTAATAGAACACAAAGAGTGGATGCACCTGCATCATTGCACACGATTTTGAGCCATGTCGTTCAACGTCTCTAACCATCGGTGACTTTCGTCTCGCGAACCCCAACCAGGTAGCCTACATCAACCAACATGATTCAGCCCACTTGTCAGTGACTTCATGGATTTATGACATGTTTTGGTCTGGCCGCCCTTAGCTTTCTTCCAATCTACCCCTACACTGCAAAACATAGCTCGTCGCGGCAGTCGGTGGTTAGCCAAACGTAACACATGTCCTAACCACCTCAACTGATGAAGTTTCAATACTTCATCTATTGATTTGCCATCCCTACCTAGAACTCGTTTCCTAACGACAGCATTGCTTACTTGATTGTCCCAGGATACACGAGCGATGCTTCGGAGACATCGATGATCGAAGACTAGTAACCTACGAAAGTCCTCTACTCTTAACGGCCAAGTCTCGAATCCATACAGTAGGACAGAGCGAACTGCTGCACAGTACACTCGTCCTTTAGTCAGCAAACGGATATCTCACCTGCGCCATAAGTGACGCAGGTTGGCAGAAGCCAATCGAGCCTTCTGTATCCGAGCTGAGATTTCGTCAGTCACCAGGCCATCAGCACTGATAAGACTCCCCAGATATGTGAAGCGGTCTACACGTTCGAACACTTCACTCCCTATCACTAGTTCAGGTGCCGATGTAACCCAATCTTGAAGCAATATTTTGCATTTCGAGTGGGAAAACCGAATCCCAAACATGCTTGCATTGTTGCTCAAGGTGCTCAGAATACTCTGCATTTTGTCAGCGTCTTCACCAAGTAGGACTATGTCATCGGCATATTGTAAGTCAATAAGCGAGCCACCTAGTAAAAGGTCTACTACTGAAAATTCAGACGAGGATAAGGTTATTTCTAAGAGCATGTCTATGATAAAATTAAACAAGAATGGAGAGAGTGGACATCCCTGACGGACACCACTTGAAGTAGAGAATTCCGGTGACAGTTCGCCATAAGCTCTCACTCGACCAGTGGTGTTCGAGTAGAGAGCTTGTATAAGGTTAATGTACTTCTTTGGTAAACCTTTCAAAAAGAGATACTGCCACAGAACCTCACGATCCACAGAAACAAATGCCGGCTCACGGTCGAGGAAGACAACTATTGTAGGACGCCCAAGTGTGTGTCTGTGTTCCAGGACATGTCTTAGTATGAAATTGTGGTCTATACAACCACGTCCAGGTCGAAAACCAGCCTGGTTTTCTCTCGTCTGCTCTTCACAAGCTTTCATCAAGCGTCGAAGTATTATTGAGGCCAATATTTTAGAAACTATATTAGTCAGACTGATTCCTCTGTGATTGTCGAAAGAAGACTTTTGTCCTTTTTTATAAATTGGGACAATCAGTGATTGAGACCAGTCAGATGGGATTGTGTCCAGTTCCCAGATTCTAACTAAGATCTCGATCAATCTGACTGTTAAAAATGGATCACCATCCTTAAATATCAGTCTATCAAGCCCTGCATTCACCCTCACTTCAGATTTTCTAACGCTCCTTAAAGACCAGCAGGACTTACGTCGATTTGCCATTCAGGATGACTGGAGATCGTGGGTAACCAAAGAGCGGCTCAAGGCCAGTTGAATTGATCCCTAAAGTGTTCTACCCGTCGATCCAGTCTCCTGCTTTAAGAATAAATAATAGTCCCATCGTTTTCCGAGATAGCCTCAGTTACACTGGGATTCCTAATACCAGCTTCCTTGATAAGTCGGTGCAACTGTCTGTTGTTACGTACTGTCTCGTTCAGTCGGACGGCGCACAAACGACTATCTACTGGGATCCAGTCTAGGAACACTAGTTTTGCCCTACGATTTAATGCTATACCTACACTTGCGAGACCCCTGGTAGAAGCATCAGGGCTACCGGATACACGAAGATTGTAACGAGCTGCTTGTTTGCTTTGACAAGGCGAAATCAGATTAATGACTTTACTAGGATCCTGTATGCGCGTTTCCGAGACGCAGCATACATCGATTGAGCGAGATTCTAATGTTCTAACTAACGAAGTCTTTTGCCTTATTTGACATAATGTACGTACATGAAATGCTCCAACATGCTTATCACCTATCTGGATTGTTCACATTTAGGCTCGTACATCAATCAATAGATGGAGCACAGTGAAAAGGTGTTCATAATTAAATCTGAAAACTTATAGACTACCAAATCACCAGTTCTAATTTTTTGTGTTCACACAAACATAGATCACTACTTCTTCTTATCAGATAAGGTAAATGGATTACTACAGAAAAAATACCTGAACTATATTTCATCTAATCTGAGTCATGTAGAAAAGAATAGAAGTTTTTAAGACAAATAGAAAAAATATGGTTTTTTAATTATTTTACGAAGGTATTGATAGAAGAAACACATCTGACTATTTATCACTCAATGGATATAGTTATATATTAATTTCAACGTAATTCTGGATCAGTATTGATAATTTATTTTATTGTTCTCTATCATTCAAAGGTTTTTCATTTGAGCTATCGTCAAGTACGTCAAAATTTTGAGCCAGTTATTTTGGTGGTTCATGTTTCTTTCAAAGTGTTGTAAGGAAGATGGATGCCATTCTACTGATAATGAAATTTTTTTTAACTGAATAGCAGGTTTACATTCTACTTTATCTATTTCATATTAAGCAAATGGTTAAAAATTATTAGTCCAACACAAAAAAATCAAGAATTATGGGTTCAAAGTTAATTACAAGTTTCTACTGTTAATACACATGTATTGACTAGTGAAAATAAATTACTTCACCAAAACATTTCTTATCACTTACACAAATCAATTAATTAACTACTATAAACCATAAAAACTTATCAAGTAAATAGTTTTTCAATGGAAAAGAGAAAGATATGATAAAAGAAAATGCATGATGAGCCATGTGACAATGATAATATTACTAACGGTAATTGATTAAACTTAATAGAATAGTTATTATTGCGGTATCGACTGTTGTAAAAAAAACAAAACTAACAACCACATTGTTTGATTCTTTAAAAGAACAACTAATAAGACAGTCACGTGAGAAAAACAAATTTAGGGCTGAGAATTTGGGAAGTAATGACAAAATTTATCCAGGAAAAAAAATATTTAATGGGGTTAGAAAATATTGTTGGTAGATTGGAACAAAAAAAGATAAACTGGTAAAATAGTTGTTATAAGCTGTTTGAAAATGCAAACAGCTTGGTGATTCAGGTAGATTATTCAAAATTTACATCAATTTTATCATTATATAAATTTACCCTGTATTGTCTAGGGCAATTTTACATTGGTTTTCAAAAGAACCAAAGAGACTGGACACGTTTTACCATTACTACATGAACAGTTCGGCTCAATCCTGTGGTGTAACCACACAGGTACCTGATACCCTGGTGGACCATTCACACCATTTCATATACACACAATGATATATATATTTCCGATCAATGATCGCGTCAATCAATATGCACCGCATGAACAGGCCATTTCGACCTATCCCGCTTACATAACTGTCAAACGCATTATTATTAGCAATGGTGATATGTAATACAGTACACCAATGACAATGGCCCTCGGCCAAGCCATCCACAATATTCACAGAGAACCTCTAGTCTCATAGGAGACCTTCAGCTCTATATAGTAGTATAGCATATGGTGTACACATATATGGCGCAGGATAGTAGAAGAGGCAGACCAGCTTGATGCGAATAGGCACAAACACTTCTACTACCCTTTGTCTCATGTCGGGCAATGATTTTTTCGCGTTTCCGAAAAAATATACATCATAAAAAATTAAATACACGAGGAGAAAACTTGATTAAAAATGAAACGAGAGAAAAATGAAGTAAACTAGATATAGTAATGTTGTTTGTTAACTTACCTATTTCAACAGGTATATCAGTAATGTCATTTTCACCAGCCATGATCACTTTCAGTTTGGTAAGTTGTCTAAAGAAATGTAGCGTAAAATAAACAAAGAAACGATAAATATAAAAACCGGGAAATAAATACTTATTGAAAACATATGTTGTCATCATAATATGATATCTAACAAAAAGACTTCGTGGAAAATATACATCTATTCATGTTGGGGATGTTAGATCCCCGAAATTCGCTTGATAAATGCCTTATTTTGGATTTCACGTTTGCGAGCATGGGCTGATCAGTTGACCTTGAGATTTTAATTCCCACCAGGAAAATCCGTGGCTGTGATTGGCTGTTGTGTATTTTAGTGTGCTATTTTCTTAACTGTCCCAAGGATGTTTCTATGATGTATAAATAAACGAGAGTTGTATGCTTGATTGTACTGTGATTGCTGGGTGTTTGTAGAATATACTTTCTACGCTTACCAAGACTTCTGTTTTACCGTTTGGATTCAAGGTAGCCTACCTGGACGCTGGTAAAAGTCTCGTTCGCGTTTATTGACTAAGGTAAACTCGTAATAGCCTCAAGCATACTAAGTGACGAACCCAATAATTCATCATATTACAGAATGAAGATGACGCTGTGAAATGTACTTAGTTTCTGAGTGTCATTCAACCTTCTCGTAATATTCTGAAATGAAATCAGTATTCCTTAAAAGTATAATTTATACTTTTATTCATAATTTTATTTCACTGTTATCCTGTTCAACAGATGACTGATATTTTCTTACTAAATTATCCAATTTTTAAAACTACTACTGGTACTATTATTATTAACATTTATATAACTAAAGAGAATGAAAGTATAGTTGATGAAAAATAATATACATACATACATACATACATACACAATGTAAATGACCATTAATTGTACACACTTACCCAATACTTGCAGGAAATGTTTTCAACCGATTGCATAGAACATTTAATTCTTGTAAAGATATTAAACCTGATAAATCATTTGGTAAAGATTCCAACAGATTTGATTCCAAATCCAGAATACGCAGTTTCGATAATTGAGTAATCTCATCAGGTAGAGACTTCAGTTGCAAAAGCCAAAAATGTGCAATAAACAAAACAAAAAGGAAAAGAATCGAATTGAAAGAAAATAAATGAAAGAGGAGAGAGAAAGAGAGTGTGTGTGAGTGAGTGAGTGAAATGACGTTATTCTTATTAAAAACTAGATAAACCATCAAGTAAGGTATTTTAAAACACAAATATAATAGATATATGTCATCTAAATCATATAAAAAGAATTAGGTTTTTATTCGTTCGTACTAAACAACTGCAATATAATTAATTTTTTTTAAGTGATTTACTATCACGTTCAGCTACCAACAACAAACGAACGAACAAACTAACTAACAAACAGATAATCAATCTGTGTATTTTAAGTAGGGCTGAAAGAATTGTGCTATAAATAAATAAACGATGTCTTTTATTTGTATTATGCACATATAAATAATTCAATGATTGGAATGACGTATAGACAAGCAAAACAGCTTGGGAGAGCAGACACACACAAAATTAGTCAGTTGAAAAGGTAAATGAAAAAAAAACAAACTACCTAGTTCATTTATTGAATCTGTTATGCATATCATAGACTAGAATCGGTGTTACAATTAAAAACTAAATCTTATGAGAAATTATTAGTATCAAATGATTTTTCTACATATCAAATTGAATGCAGTAAAAAAATTTGATGTATAGGTCAAATCATGGCGAGATAAATTTTATTTATTACAGAATAGATGTTTGATAATATCTAACGAGAAAGGGGAAAAATCTTCAATTATTACAAGTTTAAAGACATAGTGATTAAACTATACGCTGAAAAATCAAGAAGTGATACTCTATGCTAAAATTATTCAACAGGCAAATAAATAACTAACTACTTAATTTGCTTTAAGAATTCAAACAATAAAAATGAAAAGGTGAAGAGTCATTTTATTTGTGAATAGAAAAAAAACGCTACATACCACCCTTAAGTGCAGACTGAATGCACATTTTCACTTGTATTGCACAAATTCACATTCACATTACACAAAAATTTAACTAAAACAACGTTTCACAGAGGACTTGTAGCCAAATGAATTTCTCGAAGTTTCATTTATATTGACAAAATAAAACTACACTTAGTTATGTTTTCTTCCATACAGAAACTATTTGTTTGGGTAGACATTAATTCGTAATAATTTTCACTGTAATGTTAACTGTTCTACGTATTGGAAATACATTAAATAATTATCAATATACCAAACATGACAAACAATCAAACAGCTTATTTTGAAAATTTTCAACATCAGTTATTTTAACAAACAAGATTAGTTAAAGATCGGATTATTGAGATCCGATATGTTTCATAACGAGTCAAAACTGTCAGCCACATAAATGGTTCTCATGGTATTTATATACTTACTGTTCTTTTTTTCACGAACCTAATTATTTATAGTCTCTAGTTTAATCACGACATTCCTATCACTGGGATATAAAATAACGACATTTACTTCCAATAGGGTAAGGAGCTGAAGTGAAAGAATCAGACCTACTTTACTCTACTACGGTTTTTGTTCTTATCTCATGAAAAAACAACTACAAAAGGTTTGATGATTGATTGGAGACACTGAATAGATCATTAAATCATTAGGCAGAAAACGATTTCACTTTATGGTACAGTAAGATTTACTGAGTATAACTCTTGATTCCACTACGACTTGGTTTAGTATCAGAAAACAAACGAAAACTGAACAACCAACATTTGCAAAAATCAATACATCTAAATATCAGTGTGAAATTACTAGATACAACCTCCTTTTCAAAGAGGTAACAAGTTGGTAACCACCACATCATATATATATATATATATATATATATATATATATAATATCCGAAAAACAAATATGCGTAGCAAAACTTCATTTTCCAATTATGAGACAAACGGTAAGAACAATTCGATTTTTCAATATCTCAGTCACATGTACAAATGAATAGATAGCAGTAGAAAAAAGGAATCACTGAAACAATATAAAGCAAAGCTAAATGGTAGATGAATAATTGTAGACAATCATACATATCACATGGAGGCGTCATATGACTTTTTGTTTAAATAAACCTATAAAGATAGCTAAAATGAAGTATGAAATTTTAACAGAAAATGCAATTCTATGCCAAAACGCATCGATTTGAAATGATTCTTCTTCAATAAATCTTATTGAAAATAGTATTTCCTTTAAATGATTATTGCCGTAGAATAAGGCAGCATAAAGACTTACAACAAACTATACTGCTATAAATATATTTGTGTTAGGATAATAAACTTTTTTTTACTGTTCACATATTTTCTTCGGATGCTTTCATCATTGGACAGATCAAATTAGCAAATTATAACCTTATTAATTAACAGAAAACATCTGGTGGTAAGAATTAAAACTTCAATCGGAAATCGATTGGTTGAGTGATTCGTTTAAATTTAGGTTGATAAATAATTATTGATAAAATTACTTCCACCAGAAATATCAAAGTAAAATGACTTTATGCATGAATATACAAGTAATTTATGTTAATAGAAAAATCTTATTCAATAACTTAATGACAATTGAACAAAAAAAATTTTAAATTACGCTAATTTAACGATATAAATGTATCTATCATTTAAAAATGTATGAGCATAAAAAATGATCTAAAACGTGTATTTGTCAAAGAGAAAACTGACTGTTGACACAAACACATAAACAATATAATAGAACATCTGATAATACTCTTAACAATTGGTTGAAGTTAATACATATTTTAAAAAATTATGATATTCAGTTTGGATTCACTTGTGTGGCAGGTTCGGATCTTGCTCCGCCTTTTTTTTTATAGCTTGGACGGATGAATATTATCACTAGCAGTTACATAAAGTTTAAAAAAGGAATTAATTATTTTTTAGTTTAGGGAGCATATTCATATTAACGATGGAATTAGCCAAACAAACGGACGACTAACGAAACCGATCACATTACCAACTTGTATTTCAATGAACTACAGGTATGGCAAAGTACAAGTCTGTCTCGTAATTGTGAAAAGTTTTATTTTCAGTAATATGAAACTCGTTATCAACATTTTTAATCAAATTAATTATTACAATAACAAAATAGTTGGAAAATTTACTTTGATTGGTCTAACAACAGAAGAATAAACTATCCAATAGAATAATTCTGCTGTTACATGACTGGAAAAAAACTGTGTGAAGCAAGTTTTATTTGGTATATTATCTTCTTATTAGTTATGTTAATAAATGTAGTTGGAGAAGGGTAGAATTTTAGACAGAACGTGAATTAACCCAAAGTTACAGATATATGACATTATGAAACGATGACAACTAGAGTAAAGCTATAACAAAATGAGAAACTACAGAACACCTTAATATTGTGTCATTTAACACAATGAAATGCTGAATTATTACGTCAGTAATACACAACAAACAACAAATTGTAGCGTTAAAAATAAATCCATTAGCATACATTATTATCAGAACGAATAATACTAAAATTCTAATATTTTCATAGGTAAACTGAAAAAAAAAAGAAATTCATAAAATTCTATTCAAACAACTTACAGTTAACTGGTTGTAGTTTAATCGTAGTACTTCAAGAGCAACAAGTTTATTGATTTCTTCAGGTAATTGTGTCAAACGATTAGAGCCTAAATCCAATTCAACTAACGTTTTCAATTCATGCAAGTCTAAATAAATGTAGATTTAAGGCAGCGAATAGATTAACAATTAATGAACAACTATTTTAGCGAATCAATAATCAATAATTATTATCATTAACTAATTAATAAAAAAACATATTGATCAATTCATTCGCATATAAGTGCAGTAGGGACAAGTGATTAAAACTGAGATTAAAAAAATAAACAATTCTCCTTAACATACTGTACACAAAAGGTAAGTTAGCTCAGGATAAATAGACTGACTAGTGAATCTCATAATTTCAAAAAAAGTTATTTAATGTGACATAGTTTTGTAAGTCGGATAATTCAATATATGTTTATTGGTTTAATTTGTAATAAATAAGGAAGAGGACTTGTACTACAATCGTAAGCTTCTGTTATAATTAAACATGGATCCGGAATGACAAAACTAACATGACTTGATTGAGAACTTAACCTCCTGACGACGTGACAGGAACTACAGGAAACAGCTGGATGGAAAGAAAAAGGACACTATAAAATGCAAACGATTAGCAAATCTGAAGGTTACTCAGAAATTGAAAAGAAACACATAACACCAGGTTAAACGTATGTAATATCTAATTAGATCAGAAATGGATCAAGATCCAGGTATTTTGAAATCCATAAACGTCTAACTAACAACAACACCTCAACCATTCATATCGATATGATTCACAATTATTTTCAATACAAAAAATGTTTCCTATTTGACTTTATCAACGTTACCTTTATGTACTTAAGTTGTTTCGTATATTCAGACTGTTGATTTAGTGAACGACACTGTCATTTTCAGTCAGTCGACCATAAACAAAGTAGAACCTAGCACATATACGGATAGATTTGTGTTTCCATCGCTCTTGCTTTCACTACCCACCACTGTTCGTGATCATTGCGTAGGCTTTTTATCAGCCTGCACTTGAACTTACTCCGCCATTGGTCATGTTCGGAGCCAGACGAGATGATGATGAGATGTTTTTCTAGTTGCTCCTGAAATAGAGTCTTGGTAGTGTTATCATTAGGTAGAACTCTGAAAAGTTTCATTGCGGTGTCTTTGCTACGTCCAGTAAGACGCAGACGAATACACGCGCGCACCAGAGCATGGTCTAAGTTTAAACAGGTGCTCCAGAATAAGCAGCAGTCTTCAATAGAGCCTCTTCACCGATGGCTTATAGCGATGTGATCTAGTTGGGTCCATCGTTGAGACAACTTTGGGAGTCGCCAGGTCAAAAGATGTTAGTATATGCAAGAAATCGGAGGTTGTCTGAGCATAGCTGCAACAGACGGTCGCCATTATCTGTTCTCTCAATCACGGCACCATCAGATCCACTCAGGTGTCTTTCCTGCTCACTTAGTCTACCTACTTGAGCATTAAAGTCACCAGCCATTATTACTACATCAGAGTGCTCCACGTTTCGGAGGTTGGAAAGCTTCCTGTGGAACTCATCTTTAAACTCACATGATCTGCAGACAGTGGGAACGTAGGCAGAGGCGACGAAGAGGTAATGGGAAGTGTCCCTATCTTTCCGAGTCCTTATTGTACCGTTTAGTCGGACAGCGCACAGGCGATTGTCCACTGGGATGCAGTCTAAAGGAGCTAGGTCTGCCTTAAGACTCAATGCTATGCCTACACCTGGGAGGCCACTGGAAGCAGCAACAGACCTTTCAGCTACATGGAGAGTAACCCAAGTTGGTTCTTTATCTAGACAAGGTGAAGTTAAATTGATGATTCTACTTTCACTCAGAATGCGCCTTTCAGAGAGACACCATACATCAATAGCGCGAGATTCTAAATTCATAGCTAAGGAAACCTGTTGACCTATCTGATATCAGGTTCGAACATTAAAAGCTCCAATATGTAGTTCAGAACGGGGATTCAGTAGACCAGGAATAACATTTCGTGAACTCGAATCGTTCGCATTAGTGGCGCGAGGGGATTAATGAATGTGAGAATGTTTGGTCACGGAGGTAAGAGGGTTATTAAAAGTATAGAAAGGATTTGATTCTGACTAGATTGATCTCGTCTGCTATTACTAGTATGATGGCGGATGTCACTTCCCTGCTGCCGACACCCGGGAAAGGTGTTTCTTACGGAACCTGAAAAAGAAATTGCCTTAGAGAGACTTGATAGAGTGACCCTAGAGCCCATGGGACAGCTGTTTGGGGTGGATCGCGCACGGCCTTTTTATGGGATGTTTTAGAAGTTAGTTCCGCTCCTCAAATAGTCTTACGGTCAGAGACGGAAATCCGTGAGGTAAGGTGAGGTGTGACATTTTTAGGGCAGCATCGCTGCAGATGCTGGTTGTCCGAGGGAAACATCTTACTGCTGTCACACCTCTCTACAGTCAGAAGTACGACTTCGCCCTCAGACCTTGAGTAGTTGTTTTTAGTCTCATCGTTCTCCAGTCGACCAACCTGGCATGGTAGAACCTACAGGAACATATGTTCCAGCCAATATAGCTCGGTTGGGTCATCACGACAGGCAAACCCAACCACCATGTTAAGGTAGCAACTATGGTCGGGACTTTAGAAAATTATAAAAGTAAATTTTGAAATAAATGATAATCCAAACGAAATGGTGGTCTTGTTATTATTCCATATCATAATGGACAGTTATCACAAAATCAATGTTCAGTATTATCTTGTTTGTCTATTTAAAATTGAAACGGTATTTAACTAACCTGGACCAATTAAACTGTCTAGTGTGTTATCACGTAAATTTAATTTGATCAAATTTGAAGCCAAACTAAATACAGATTTTGGAATGTTTGTGATTTCATTATGATCCATATTGATAGTCTAAACAAAAAGGAAAAAGGTGAAACATTTTGATAAACCGACCGATATATATATACATATACATATTCAGTTAGTTTAAAGTGTTTCAGAAATCGTACACCCAGAGGAAAAAGGCATGATTTCACGTAAAGGTTGGGATATAAAAAGAACAGTACTCAGTTTCTGAAGAACTATTTTGACTATGCAGTTGAGAATGAGCTAGGCAGCCCTAGAGTCCTTAGATCGGAACAATGTTTTTTAAGGTCAAATCAGAAAGTGAAGATATTACTTACGAAATTATGCGTATGATAACATAAGACATGAAAGGCTGTACGCTTCATATTGCCTTGATAATTTCTATTGCTGACTGTTTAGCAAATAATATCACTTTTAACTATATATGGATAGTTTCATTTCTAGCTTGCTGAAGGCATTGAAGGTTTCATCATTCCAACGTGGTGACAGATTAGAGAATAGAATTCACTAGAGAAAATTTCACCAACCTAGAATACGGATACGTTTTCAATACCTATTTTGCAAAATCCAACTGTGATTAATGACTAGAAATAATAATACGTGCAATGTCAGTGAGCCTAAAAAATTAGAATATAACTATTGATTCTAGTGAACTCGAAGGAAGTGTTTTATTCTGTTGAATACAAACCAGTTGCTTTTTGAATGCCAGACTAGATAGCTTTTAAGAGCTTATAAAGAACGCTACATCTGTAACAATTTTGTTGCAGACTTCACCTAAGAACACAGATGTAATTTCGATATTTTAAACAGTGATGGCAGCAAACAGTCGTTAAATACTCCGTGAAAGATCAATTGTACATAATTGGCATATTCGGTGCATTAAATGCTGAAGGAACTGGAGTCAAAGGAAAGATGACAGATGGACATTTTTCGTAACAATATAGATAATGAAATGTCCAGACGATAGATCTATAGGTGGCTAAGACAAGCCCTAATCCAATTTCCTTTTTAGGCTCCTCAAGAAATACCCTTCCAGTGTGTGGGCGACTAGGAAGTGACATCCACCCTCATACCCGTGATAGCAGAGGCGAAATTAGTCATAATAAAATCCTGACTGACTGACTAGATCCACTACACAAAAAGTTTTCTGAACTGGATTATATTGTCTTTATACATAGTTATGAATTCGTAAGTCGTGTACAAGATCAACGTTGGTTGTTGGATGTCAGTAAAATGTAATTCAAAGAATTGCTGAGAAGTTAACTGGCAAATTGAACATAGAGTTGATGATGAAGAGAGCACATTACTTGGTGAAGTTACGATATTTCAAAACCGAAGTGATATATTGATTATCGTTATTGAGAATCTGAAACAAACGAGAGGATGATGTTAACCTTAGATGTAGGGTAGTAATTGATGGTTTGTAGGTTGGTGTTGAGGATTTTCATTGACTGAAGTGTCTAGGAGATACATTACTTGTACCCAGATACTATCTACTTGGACGAGTAATCTTAAGTGTTAGGTTTGCTACTGATATGGCTAATATAGAACACAACCACTGATACTAAAGCAAATGGGACCACTCCCAGGCCGCAAATCAAAGGTCAGAAGAAAACAGTTTACTTCAGTAAGTTTCAAAATGAACAGGAAAATCTTTTGTTATCTATTGTTATTGGCTTAGGCTAGAAACATAATTATAGTCATTCAATCCGCGAACAGTGATGTTACACAATTATCTAACTACCGTATGCTAAATCGACAGTCTAGGGATTCTATCGAGCTGTGATCAGACGAAATCTCTTTGACCTCTTGAGAGCCTTTGGGAGCCATTATAACAAACGAGTGTAGGCACAAGTTGGACAAAAGCTAGTGGCGACCAAACAAAGAATAGCCATTGGTTCTCAAAGTCATCGGCTTTCGGTTTGACTAGACTAGACTTCCTATTTGGTGTACCGACGATAACTATAATGGTTGTTACAGATAGGTCTTTTCTTTGTTTATCTCCAGATCCCGAGTTTAAGTATTTCATATATAGATTATGATAATTTATTCCTTATTTCTGAACAAGGCTTTCTATTTCTAACCTATTGTTGAGAAAGATAAATGCAATATTTTAAGTACAACTTTGAAATCCACTTGTTGACTTAATTTGAAATGCATTCTTTTACTTTCAGTATGAACAAATCTCGACTAGTATTTCGTTTATTGAATGGCAGTGTGAATTTTCTATCGTATTAATTCATTCATTATGAGATTAGTTATTCGATTTTACATCATTCATGAAAATTCATTGTGATTTTGTGTTTAGGTGAGGACTGATCAGTCTGATAAATTTTGCATTTGATAAACATTGAAGAAACTCGAGTAAATTAATTATTTTAAAGTTTTCGGTAAGACATATTCTTCACGAAACTTCTGTTCCGTAGATTCCATCGTGCAACGTAACAATGTTTCGTATGAGCAGTGGAGTTTATTCCGTTAGCAGAGATTTCGTCGCATCTGTGGAGAATTTACGAAGCGTTTGTCACTCAACACTACCGAACTTAAACCCAACTCATGGAACTTTCTTACTACTACTGATTATACTACTACCTTACCATGATGTTCCTCCATACAATTTCGTCTCCCTGCGATGATTAGTCGAAAATTGGGGAGATGCACATTTGTAACCAGTTCAACGAGCTTATGACCACCGACTAACTGACAACAACCTGGAAGCTCCTCAAGTAACTTAATCATCACAAATTATTTTAACATGATAAACAGTAATGTTAGTTGGATTATTCAATACATTTGTTGGTCTGTGTTGTCTTCAATTCACTTACCGAACTAACTACTGGGCATTAGCTTGTGATCATACTCTGTAGATTTTGTAACGCATTTTACATAAAATTTGAACAGTGCAGACACAAACATCCCAACGGTGCATGCAAAAATTCCTTTTGATTAACAGAATTCTTCATAAGTAGTCCTGTTTGAGTTACAGTTATCAGCTTTCAACAACTTACAAGGAAAATAAATTTTCTAAGTACTGATACAAATTTATTTTACGCATTTAGTTTGTTGATAGAATGTTGTGAAATACAGGCGCTTTAAAGTTTATTTTGATGTCAATTATACGGCTCATAATAACAGTTAGTTCAAAAGGCTGTGCATACATAATATGGTCATTATTACTGCAATCTTAGAGAGCTTCAATTAACACCGCTGTTGTTCTGCATGACTGACTGATTGTGATAGTTGAAAGAGTAAATTCTAAATAAATACATATTTTCGGTAGTTCTCATTTATCAGAGTCTAAAATTACAGTTCACATATGTGTATTCTAAGTTCTATCAATCAAAAAAAGGTTCAAATATTCTGAATAAACATTTTAAATTCCATTTCTAAAGCTTAGTGAGAAGGTATTGAGAATAAATATGTCATTAATAACTGTAAATTATGGCTATGAACCATTACGAGTCCCATCCAAATTGCATTTACAAATCCTAAACAAAATCGGTTCACTTGTTTATCAACAAAGTTATGCATTCAATAACCCATTGAAATATTGAAAAGGATGAAGTTGACTGCTGATAACAATAGTAGTAACTTGAATGGAAAATCTTTAAATTGTTAACCCTAAAATTATACAAACACTATGATATGTTATAGATGACTAGATGGTTTCGTGGTTTGTCGTATAATTTACACATTATGAATTCTAACGAAATAGCCCAACTACCGACTGTCTCGACAAGCTATATTTTTTAGTATAGGGGGAGGCTGCAAGAAAGCTAGAAGCGGCCAAACCAAAACATATCACTAATCCATAATGCTACCGACAAGTAGACTGAGTCATGCTGGTAGGGTTAGGTTACGTGGTTGGGATCCGTGAGATGATGGTAACAGGTGGTTAGGGACCTTGAATTACATGGCTTAAAACCGTTTGCAATGACTCAGGTGCATCCATTTTTTGTGTTCTTACAAACTGCAATTTTCTGAATTCCTCATCACCTCTATCTTTCTCTTTTTAGACTTGTTTCACTTCTTGAATAATATCTTCGAACCCTAATCTTTTCCATTATCGTTAATCTCTTTACTACATCTACTGTTATGGGAATCGAACTGATCGTTACGTCGTCGTGGTAACGTGGTATGTTAACAGGAACTAATGTACGTATGTACGAAGTTCTGTGTTGTAGCTGACTGGCTGATAAACATTAATAATAGCGTAACGAAATGTCAAAAATATTCACTAAACATAATTTAGACTTCAATTAATAACGATATTTATAAATGGCAACTTACATAACACATCTGGAATTGTTGTGGATCACCAGAGGGAAAGTTTGTAAAATAATTTCTTGACAAGGTGATATTTAGTAGATTATGTAAAGATGATAGTAAATTATGCTGTTAGGGAGATAAATAAAAATATATCATATAAATTATGAAGATTTTAATCGTGATTGCAAACATCTATTGCTACAATTATTTCCAAATATAAACACGGCGATAATAAGAAAATACTCAAATAGACCACCCACAAATTACATGTCAGAAATAAAGGAAAATGCTTCTGGCGCGACTTGAGAAAACCACACCAACCAATACAATGTAAATTGCACTAAAATTTCAGTAACTTACAGGAAGTGAAGACAATTGATTGTTTTCGACATTAAACTCATCAAGCTTCACACAGTTAGCTAAACTTGCAGGGATTTCCACCAATTGGTTATATCTTAAGGAGAAAAGAAGAAAACCAATCCATATAATATATATACTTACATTTGTGCGATACGTTTTATGATTCTTGTGACCATTGGTAAGAATTTTACAGACTGTATAAGAGACAATTGCCAGTTTGAGTGTCACTAACACAAATATCACGTTTTCACTTTGTTTCGCATCTTTATTTCTAAACTGCATGAAGTATGTTAGCCGACCGGTTAACAAATAAATTTTTGTAAATTAAATAAACAAACGCAGATGATCATTTGAAGCATAAGACGAAGGGTGTGAGAATAACGTGACATACCTAATTAGGGATTGTTCAGGTTTGACTGGGGATTAAATCGCATATTTGTTTCTCATTAGTTTAGACATTTAACATTCAATTGGTGAGCCATGGATCCGAACTACATAATACATAACAAGGTTTAGATAACAGCCTACGTATAATAGGTGAACATAATGGTTGCTTGTAGCTATCGAATTGAATGATAATTATCGATCATGTGTACCACTTCATTAAAGGGTAAATTTTGGTACAAACAATATTTGACTTTAACAGTGGAAGGATACAGACATAGGATCTACTAATAAGGTATTTCCAATGTATAAACGTTACCAAAAAGCATGTGCCAAAAATTACAAAGTAAAATTGAAAACATTTTCTAAGTTCATTTGTAAAATAAGAAAAGCATCGAATTTACTGGTTATTACATTTTATAGAAAAAAATCCTAATTTTATCTGTAACAACGAAACGATAGCATTACTCATAGATTATTTCCATTTTGCTTTCTTTCACGAAAGTGAAAGAAAATGTTTGTCAGGAAATGAAAAGATTTTATTTTCCAAGTGTAATTCACGAGATTATTCATACCGTTTTGAACGGTATGAATTTATGACAATTAGCGATAGCAGTGATTTTTGTTTGGCGAAAATTTGACGAACATTTCGAGCAGCTTCTATTCATCAACCAATTTTGCTAGAAAAACTAAATACAGAGCTATTGTAACAGATCTATAAATAATATGAAAGGGTGAATAAACGGAACCCAACTCTCTCTAATAATTTATTTAGCCACTTTCCATTATTTATACAGTCGTAAGATAACTGATGTGTGATAATTCATGATGGAAAAAAAATTAATGCTGGCAGTCATTAGAGTTTACAGAGGGTATCAATGAATTCAGTGTGTATATGTAGCAATTAGTTTGTAAAAGAAGTGATGTTATAAGGTTAAGGATAGGCAGTGAAAAAGGTATCGCATAAACTAATGTCTACTAGTTGTAACTGGGTTTGTAATATAATATTATTTGTGCGTTAGATATTTTGATGGCTGAAGATTACTGGCGAAACAACTAAAATGCAGAAAACATTGTTCTGTGTATTTGCATCAACTATTACAAATAGTTTGTTGAATACATCTTAAAAACTTGCAAATAAACCGTGAGTATAGTACGAAGATGAGAAGACATTAAGTGATAGAAGTGTTAAGTGACTCAGTCCTGAACATCTGGGCAATAGATCAGTGGATTAGGGTACAAAGGTTTATAACGCCAACTTAGTCCGCGATACAGTATGAAAACCATTCAATGTGAAGTCATTGACTAGACGCAACAAACACTTTAAACACGCCAATAAATGACTATTATTTAACATCATCAACACCTATAATTTCATACTATACACCCCTTATAGGAAAATCTCAATTAGTGGTATTAATGCTCGTCAGTCATCTTTCCATAAATTGAAATACTCAAACATTTGCTTTGGTTGCAAAAAGACAAAGTCTGTACTTTAAATCAAATCTTCAAGAAATAATTGTGACAAAAATTTTTGTAAATTCGAAGGAAAATATTAACGAACCCGATACCAAGTCCCTAGCACATTCACATCGAGGCAAAACAAAACCGTTTCTTACATATAAAATTCACACAACAAGCTAAGGATGCTAAACGGATCCATATATTTGATGAGTCATCTCCAAAGCACTGGCTAAACTTGATAACAGCATCGTGTCAGTAATGCTGCATTTCGATCAGCAAAGTTATCTGTAAACATTAGACTCAATGCCTTTGACATAAATTATGCACGAATTTCCGGCAAATTCTGTGTTACGAACAAAGTAGCAACGATTAAACTAAATGAAAAATGGATTACTAGTTTATGACAGGCTTCTACAAAAAGAAAGGTAATTGCGTCACCATAACACCGAACAGTGTCCTAAGACTACTGAGATTGTACTGTACAGACTATGTATCTTAGTGATTCTACGGGACACCAGAAATGGCCTACAAAAGAGATCAGTAGGAAAACATATGTGGTACCGCTATGTTAAAGAAAGATTAGAGTCAATTCTCGTTGCCCACTTTCTTTCGAAATAATGATTTTGCCAACTAACTTCTTTCCCACTATGTTGAGAGTGAGTAAGTGAGGCTGTTATTTACGATATCGCGAGGGCGAAAAGCGAATGCCCGGCACATAAACTGGGCAGGTAAGTTCAGAAGATCCACTTTACGGAGATGGAAAACTCTGATCGAAAACCAATGGTGCGTATGGTAACGAACGGCGTACGAACACAATGTTGGTCATCGATTACGATGCAATTGCATATCCAAACACTGCACTATTGCTCTATGGATTAGACCTATAGGTCGAAGACTCAGAGTGGCACTCTGAGAAAAACCTTTGCTTCGGCTTAGGCGGCCGAGCAGTATCTCAACCCACGTTTAAGTTCAGAAATTTGTGTGGCGCATTAAAATTTAGTTGATCCTTTGTACCGAAAATTATGCACTCAAATAAACTGATTAATTGTAGGAATCGTTACTGTATCAAAATTCAGGTGTGTTCAATGGGACAGAGACTATGTATATGAAGTCAACTGGCCCACATAGCTCAAAATCGTTTGCGATGGCTCAGGCGCATCCGTTCTTCGGCTTCCGTCAAATTCTAATCTTCTGAGTTCCTGATCACTTTTATCTTCCTCTTTTCAGATTTGTCTCACTGGATTATACTTCTTCAATAAGATCTTCGAACCCAAATCTTCTCCATTACCGCTAATATCTTAACCACATCTACCACTATGGTATTCGAATTGATAATTTGATCTCTGTGCTAATGGGGTATTGCAACTTGAGCTGATGTACGTATGTACGAAGTTCTGAGTTGTAGCTGACTGACTGACTGATATTAAATCAACTGTTTACTTCAAAATATGTTTACTCTTGTGTCATTTATGTTCGCCTTTTAACATGTTAGTGTTTTGTTTATTTTAAATTATTTCAATATTGATTAATTTACAAATCTGATAGCAAGTGAATGGCTGTTTTATTAAATAAGTGGTTTTTTATTTCAGTGCTAATCATTCTGCAGCTGAGACCGGTTGATGATACTGAATGATTTTATTAGCTGTTCAGCTTCTTGTAAGACAGAATTAATCTCTTAGTTGGAGAGAATCAGTCTTCTGAGCACATTTATTTCTATGATGGCTGACAGTTTCGACTCGTTGCGAAATATATCGTATCTCAATAATCCGATCGTTTACTAATCTTGTTTGTTAAAATAACTGATGTTGAAAATTTTTAAAATAATCTGTTTGATTGTTTGTCATGTTTGGCGTATTGATAATTATTTAATGTACTTCGAATGCGTAGAACAGTTAACATTACAGTGAAAATTATTACGAATAAATTACTCAAATATATATATATATATATATATATATATCAATACAATTTTTACATTAAACAATATTTGATTCGTTAATAAGTAATTAGAATAACTAAAGGCTGTGAGTAAAATAGAATGAAAGAAAAATTAGTGTACAACACTCACTTGATAGATAATCTACATAAGTTTACTAGATTTCCTATGCTATCAGGTAGTTTTGTTAGTTGATTATGTTGAAGATTTAGATCGCGTAACGATGTACACTGTCCGATACCTGAGTAAATGATGGGAAAAACACCAGTAAAAAATAATAGTTACATGACTTTAGGCAAAAGTAGGAAGTCAGAAACACAGGACTTCGTTCATGCGTTGTTTCTGAGGTTTGTTTATTTTATGCTGTCAACCTATGCAACTTAATAGTTGTTCCTACGTAACTTTTGACATCTCTTTTATTGTTTAGGAACTTGTACCAATGTTTCAAAGTTTCGCTCTCAAAGTTTCATATTAGTTAAGATACAAATATCTGTAAGTTAGAAGATTCCTATAATCCTTTCATATTTATTCCCTCTATAGTAAACTGCATTGATATGATATAAAGTATGTACAACATTTTACTTCTGAATAATTGATACTATTATTTTCAACGTTGCACGAAACTGAAGAGAATGTGCGAAATGAATGAAATCTAATGATTTTGCCATGATCGTTATTTTTTTTATTCAGATTACAGCTTAAAGTTTCGTCAAGAATATACGTAGGAATAATCGCGCCTAACTATTAAATACAAAGTTGTTGAATCCGACTTCCCATCCAAAGCTTTTAATGTGATAATTATAGACTTAGATTATATTAAAACGAATAATTCTGCAAGGTATGTAGTGACATGACTAAATAGTTTGATTGCCTATCGTTCATTATCTTGCGGCTTTTATCCAGTCCAATCAAGTAAACCAACAAGATTCATGGATTAACATTCATGTGACTGGGCACAAATCACAGAACCTAACTCACGGAAGTAAATCTGGATAATGTACTTAGAAAGATGAAAAAAGTTGGTACTCAACGCCCACTTTGACTTAATTTATAAATATAACTTATTCCAAGTGAATAAAAAACACTACATGTACATAAGTTTTAGCGGTAACCTCTACGTCAGCAGTTACATTTAGCATGTGAAATGCATGTGTGCTGATGCAACAAGAAGTTTTTGTTGTTCGAACCCAAATGAGTTGATTACATATAATATTGTGGTTAGTAAATGAATATGTGAGATACTAAGTTTGAGCTCTTATTATTTTTACAAGTAGATACTTCGGGAATTATTTACTGTGACAAGGATCTACTACTACTGTAGCTTCTCTTTCATTGTGAAGCTTAGAAAGACAACTTTCATTTATCTTAACAACTTGACACACGTTATATTTGCAACACAACACTACCAAAGGGTTCGGAAACCACTTGTGACACCCATATTTACGTATTTTTGAGTTAATGTCCTGTTATGCGCTCTGAAACCAGTTAGTAATGCAAGGTTTCAGTGTTTAGCCAAGCTGAAACGAAACTACCAAATAAACGGTGTAGAAAATCTTATTTTTAAATAAGTAGTACTTGAGTGCAGTTATAGGTGAATAAAATTACTCGCAGGAGATTGGAGTGGGCGTTGACCTTTATCTCGGTGACTAATCGATTTGTCTGGTATTCTGCATTTTTACGCCCACACTTATAGTGACTCATCAAGCAACTTAAAAGCATGTCATGTGACCACGGGAAACTCCATATCTGATCAAATCGACATATTAGACAGGGTATTTTAAATTGTTCACACAGCTTATGGTAGATTGACAGATAGCATCCTAAAAATCTTTTATAATTTATTCTCCAGGGTTATTTTTAGTTTGCATGATTACAAAAAGATACCAATCATTTCAGATGCGAATAGAATGTGAGTTCCGACTTTATGAATATATATACAGCTTAAACGCACTATGGGTTCATCTAATCGAAACACTAATGACGTATTTCTTGTAACAAGATTTGATACGTTACAACCTTTTAATACTAGGCAGCTGAAAATAATTAACAAAATCTAGAAATATAGTATGCTGAACTGTAGAAATACTGGTCGAGTGATTTTTACTTCCCCCTAACATATAATGACGAGTAGAGAAATTATCAAAAACTATCTTTTCTGAGTAAGAAAAAGCCTGTGAACCAATCATAATCATGAGGTGATCAGTAGGCACTGTCGATGAAGACTTATAGCTAAAATGGGTGATTTTAAAGTTCCATTCTCAGAGGTGAATGGTTTATTTGTGATGCTTTTGCAGTTCTTCCGAACAACATCGTCAGATAAAACTTCAGGTAAAATGTGCTATTGCAATTACCCCACGTATGGTTGACAGTTTTTCATGTCAACCTTGATCTTGGATGGTTACTGTTGACTTTTATTCTGTTATTGCATGTGTTTACTTTGATTGTCTTCATTTCCCCACGATCGGATTTTCGATCCTATATAGATACATTATTTTTTACTTGCTTGGTACATTGGGTCAATTTCGTTGTATTTATTGATTACTGATTACCATGAATCCCAAGCTCTTAAATATTCATGGATGTTCAGCAACAGAAAATCCAAAATAGAAAAGGGGTTGAACAACAAAACCGTCATTCTTGGATGTGTTGATCACTGGAATCAACACGGGAAAACTGGAGACATGTTTATCGGAAGCCAACTCGCACACACCACATTCTTGACAACAACAACAACCCAAAAACTAACAAAGCCAATTGAGTATATTTTTTATTCAAAAGAGCAGAAACTCATCGAGACGCACTCACAGCACAAAAAAACAAGGAAAAATATCTAACTAAGAGAAGACATTCAAAATAAAGACGCAAACAATAACAGAATAAAAGTCAATAATAACCTCAGTCATACGAACAGGAACAAAAAAAGCATCACGATTAAACTGTCCATGTAAGAGAACTAAACACCACAGACAGCGCGTACTTACAATAAACTTTTGGCAGTGAATAAATAAAATATTAAAGTGAGTTACTTACTGTCAGGTAAGAAGGTGATATGATTAAAGGATAGATCCAATTTTACCAATTTTGTTAGTTCACCAATAGAACTAGGTAGATCTTGTCGAATCAGATTACGGCTTACAACCAACACAGATAAACGCTGAAATAAACATGTAAATTTCGAAAAATAAAAATATCTTACTGATACTAATAAAGCAACCTATCGAAAATGTTAGGTTTTTGGTTTATTTTGTAAGGGATCTTACTACGCACCCCAGGAATTCCAAGCAGATCTATATACTAAGATTCGAGTTAATCCATTAATCTGAAAGTTGATAGTAAATACCAACTACGCAATGAACGAGAATCTGTGACTTAATAAATGTCGTTTGTTGAAAGCGAATATCAACAGTACTATCCTTTATTAAACCGATATACCAAGTTAGGAGTGGAATACGTACTTCAACGAATGAACAAATGTCACAAAACTAACTAATGAATGCACACATTCACAAAAAATGGGATCTTATGAAACATGGCTTGCGTTTTTCCACTTACCTAATAGAAGCTGCTCCTATATATATATATATATATATATATATATATATATATATATATTATTAGCAACATTTCCAAAATTATATATGAGGTCTGAAGCCACATATTTATCCCACAGCGCAAACCATAAGATAAGTTTTCACATGTTTATTATTAAGCTAAACTTCATAAAAACTAAAAGCTGAATCGAACAACTTACTTTTAAATACTTTATTTCGTCTACAATATGCGTTAATTTATTGTATGTGAGAAGTAAATGTTCCAAGTTATATAAACCACAGATACAAGTAGGGAGAGGACCATCTAAACGATTGTAACGCAGATCCAACTGTTCCAGATTAGTCAGTTTTGTTATTTCACTTGGCATACCAGCTGCTGTTAGCCAGTTTTGTTGCAACAGTAGTCTCTTTAGATTTGTCAGATGACTGATACTGCTTGGCAGTGTGGTTAATTTATTACCATACAGAAATAAATCTTTTATAAAAGACAAATCTTTAAAAATTGCGTTCGGAATCTGTTGAAGATTCATGTTCGAAAAATCAAGGTAGTCGCTATGAGACTCTCGACATTGAGCAACTTCTTTGCTGATATCCTGAAAGAATGAATTTAATGAAATGACAGGATTCTGATAGACACCTAAAACATTATACAGAAATACTCTCATAAATAAACTAAGGTTAACACAGAGCATGCCATACTTTTGAGAGGCTAACACTAAACTTAGAGACTATATTGACTGTTTAAATACAATACTTTAAAAATTACTACGAACCGATCACTGGAATTAAGCAATGATATACAATAGGAGCTACTTTATGCCTTATAAACTTCGGTACTAGATGGCAAAACTTTGTTAAGAATAGTTCTAAACGAACTAGAACACCGTTCCAAACCACTAAAGACGAGAAGTCAAAATGTGTAAAACAGCTTGAATGTAAAGGGTGAATCGATAGAAAGACTATGCAAATACGCCTTTGATAATTTCAAAAGTTCATACTCGTCAGTCCCAAGAAAAATGAGCAATGCTTCGGAGACACCTATGGTCGAAAACCAGTAACCTACGACTATCTTCTACTCTAACTGATCTCATGTTTCACAGCCATTAAGTAGGACGGATCGAATTGCTGTGCATTAGGCTCATCCTTCGGTTAGCGTACGGATATCTCGCCTACGCCATCAATAACGAAGGTTGGCAAAATCCAGTCGAGTCTTCTGTACCTGCGCTGAGATTTCATCAGTCACAAGGATATCAGCACTGATGAGACGCCCGAGACGGTCAACCCGCTCGAATATTTCCTTCCCTATCACTCCCAACCGTGGTGGTCGGGTTTGCCTGTCGTAATGACCCAACCGAGCTATATTGGCTCGAACGTATGTACCTGTAGGTTCTACCACGCCAGGCTGGTCGATCGGATAACGATGAGACTAAAAGCAGCTACCCAAGGTCTGAGGGCGAAGTCGTACTGCTGACTGCAGAAGGATGTGACAGCAGTAAGGTGTTTCCCTCGGATAACCAGCATCTGCAGCAATGCTACCTTCTCACAAGGAAGGAAGGGTTAGAAAAGGTCGACCGTAAGAATGTCACACCTCACCTTACCTCACGGATTTCCGTCTCTGACAGTAAGGCTATTTGAGGAGCACAAACTGACTTCCAAAACATCCCATAAAAAGTCCGTGTGTGACCGGCCTCAAGCAGTTGTCCCTTGGGCTCTGCGGTCACGCTCCCAGGTCGTTAAGACCAAAACTAATCTACCTTCCTTTTTCAGATTCCTCAGGAAACAACCTTCTACAGTGTAGGCAGCCGGGAAGTGACATTCACCCTCATACCCGTAACAGCAGGCGAAACCAAATTGGTCACAATCAAATCCTTCCTACTCCCCCGAATATCTCTCTTATGTCCACAAATAACTCTTCCTACATTTCTTTATCACACTGCACCGCTAATGTAAACGATGCGAGTTCACGAAACGTTATTCCTGGTCTCCTGAAACCCCGTTATATACAACATATTGGTGCTTTTAATTTACGGAAATGGTGTCAAATTGGGCAGCAGGCATCATTAGCTAGGACTTTAGAACCTCGTACCATCGATATATGCTGAGTCTCGGAAACGCGCATACAGGATCCCAGTAGCGTCATTCAGTTGACGTTACCATGTCTAAGTAAAGAAGCGGCTCGATTTACGCTTCGTGTATCTGAAAGCCCCGATGCTGCATTGGGGTCTCGCTGGTGTAGGTATGGCATTGAGTCCTAGGGTAGAAATAGCTCTCCTAGACTGGGTCCCAGTAGATAGTCGCTTGTGCGCTGTCCGACTAAACGGTAAGATAAGGACTCGAAAAGATAGGGACACTTCCCATTACCTCTTCGTCGCCTCTGTCTACGTTCCCACTGTCTGCAGATCATGAGTTTAAAAATGAGTTTTACAGGAAGCATTCCAACCTTCTCCAAAACAAGGAGCGCTCTGATGTAGTAATAATGGCTGGTGACTTTAATGCTCAAGTAAGTAGACTAAGTGAGCAGAAAAGACACCTGGGTGGATGTTACGGTGTCGCGGCTCAAAGAACAAACAATGGCGACCGTCTGTTGCAACTATGCTCAGATAACCTATTTCTAGCAAACGCTAACTTTAGGCATAAAGAAAAGCATCTCTTGACATGGCAACCCTCTAAGTTGTCACAACGCTGGACCCAACTAAATCACATTGTCATCAGCCACCGATGGAGAGGTTCGATAGAGGACTCGCTCGTTTTGGTGCACATGTCTAGATTCAGATTATGCTCTAGTGCGAGCGACTTACTGGAAGTAGGAAAGATCACAAGGAAACCTCTAAGGGTTCTATATAATTATAGCATAGCTAAGAATATATTTCAGGAGCAACTAGAAAGACAGTTAGGCGACTATGTAAGTGATTCCCATCCGGAGGCAGCTTGGAACGATATCCGTAAAGCTGTGGAAACAACAGTGATATTTGCTAGTAAGGTAAACTATAAGGTTAGGGAGAACGCATGGATCTCAGTATCAGCTCGTGAAGAGCAGACTCGAGAAAACCAAGCTGGTTTTCAATCTGGACTTGGATGTATAGACCACATCTTCACACTACGTACGGCCCGAGCATAGACACGCGTTCCGACGCCCCACAATAGTAGTATTTCTCGACCTTAAAGAGGCATTTTACTATGTCGATCGTGACATTCTATGTCAATGTCTGTCATTAAAAGGTGTACCAAAGAAGTACAGTAACCTTAAACAAGCTCTTTACTCGAACAATACAGGTCGAAAAAGAGCTTATGGCAAACTGTCATAGAAATTTATTACTCTAAATGGTGTCCGTCAGGGATGTCCACTCTCTCCATTCTTGTTTAATTTTGTCATAGACATGCTTTTAGAGTTAACATTATTTGTATCTGACTTATCAGGAGTGCACCTTTCACCATGAGACACGCTTGCTGACCTAGAGTATGCTGATGACATAGTTCTATTTGGTGAAGACGCTGACGAAATGCAGTCTCCTGACTATCCTAGGCAACAGTGCAAGCATGGTCGGGATGCGGTCCACCACCCCGAAATACAAAATGTTGCTCCAAGACTAGATTGCATCGGCACCTGAACTACTGATAGGGAGTGAAATAGTCGAGCGTGTAGACCGCTTCACTTATCTCGGGTGACTGACGAAATCTCAGCACGGATATATAACGCTCGATTGGCTTTACCAACATTCGTCACTTATGGCTCCGGTGAGATATGTGTTTGCTAACCAAAGTACGAGCACACTCCATATCTCTTCACTCCATCCTACTAAGTGGACGCGAAACATGGCCGGTAAAAGTTGAGGATATTTTTAGGTTATTAGTATTAGATTATAGATGCCTTCAAAGTATTGCTCGTGTATCCTGAGACAACCGAGTAAGCAATGCTACGGTTAGGGAACGAGTCCTAGGTAGGGATGGCAGGTCAAGAGATGAAGTAGTGAAACTTCATCAGTTGAGGTTGTCGGGACATGTTTTGCGTACGCCTAACCACCAACTGCCTCGACGAACTATGTTCTGTGATGTAGTAGGCTGGAGGAAAGCTACGGGCGGCCAAACCAAAACATGACAGAAATCCATGAAACCACTGACAAGTGGACTGAGTCATGTTGGTAGATGTAAGCCACCTGGGTTCCGCGAGACAAAAGTAGCCGATAGTTAGAGACGTTGAACAACATAGCTCAAAATCGTATGTAATGGCGCAGGTGCATCCACTCTCTTCGTTCTTTCAAACTTTAACTAGAATTCCTCATCACCTCTATCTTTCTCTGTCTAAAGTGATCTCACTGGATTATACTTCTTGAATAATATCTTCGAACCCTAATCTTCTCCATTACCGCTGAAACTTCTACAATCTCTACCACTATGGGGTTTGAACTGACAGTCTCAGTAGAAGTAGTAGTAACAGTAGTATTGGCAATAATATAATAATATAATATAATAATCTTCAGAATAATGCAGGATAAATCTAGAACTGTATATCGAGAGTTAGATGCAGAAAAGATGCATCTTCATGCCGTCTAATAACTTCAACCATTTTGGTCATGACAGTCACGCGGACATCGCCCAGATAATCCCCACCCACCAACATGGCTTGAAAAAACAGTCAACACCTTCATATACTTATGCCCCGTACTAGCATGGTCCCTTGGCTTATTTCCCAACCTAAGCTTGTTCTGAAAAACAGAGGGTTGGGATGGGGGTTTTGGTATACGTCGACAATGTCATATTTGTTTAGTGTTCTGAAATGACTATGAGTACTGGCGGCTGAATGCTAATAACCTGTGAATATACACTTTTAACGGTCATTTTACAGTACTGAAAGTAAAACAGGACTGTTGTACAATCTATAACATTAGATACATGGGTTTTGAAGCAATTATCTTCCTTGAAGTGATGTTTTCAGTCCATTTAAGACGAACTGATTAGTATATGGAGTCGAATAATGTTTTTAGTGAAAGTTAGGAATGTTACCTGTTTGTAAAACTTAAAACTAATTTTGGTGTACATACTGGCAATATCAGTAAAAATTAAGTGGATCTACGAGGAACAAAAATATCAACTAGGGTATGGTAACCAGTCAAAATATTTGCAGAGATAATAAGCAAAGCACGTGGTAAGTGCAAGCAAAAGCAGTGGGTTGAAAAACGTTTCACATCCTAAAATGAAATATTTGTTGAGTTCAAAACCTCACAAAAAGTAAGTCATACAGTAGGCCATAACCCTTAACACATTCAACAAGTGATTCACATGAAATGAGATAACAAAGGGATAGGAAAGATAATACACAACATACCGGAGGTTTTGTTTTCTTCATACTGTGTTTCGAGACAACCCTGAACAACTTTCCATCATGTGGCTGAACGAAGACAGCCTTTTTGCTGATGTCTGAACCGCGTCTACGACTACAGAGACGAGTCTCATGCTTTGATTCTTTCACCAAACATTTTGGGTTGATATCAAGCAATCTAGTACTGCGAGATGCCTTATGTATTTGGAAATACGGGTCACCATCGATATCATTTGAAACGGAGGGATTGGAAACATCAACATTTGAAGGACTCTCGTCGGAATCATTCTGATTCAAAATTTTAGAAACTCCTAAACACATTGAATCCACATAGTTATCACCCGATGATTTGTGATTATTTGTCATTATGGATCAAATATGCTGGTTTTGAAAAATCCATCAAATAAATGTCTTGAAATTTATCAAATAAATGCAGCTTATTTCCATAGAAGAGTAAAAACATCGCGAAACAGGACGAGCCCGGAAACCATCCTAGATGTGACCTTGACTTTGTATGACCTACTTAAAGATCAAGGCTGAAGACTCAATTATCAAAATTTATCGACGAATTAGCTTCAAAGTAGAATTTAGAAAGTGTTTATCGTAACCCACCTCACTGCACGCAAATATTTAAGGTCTATTTTATTTTCATTAGGACGAGATCTGCTATTAAAACATAAATTGACGAGTTATCCTAACATCGAATTAGTCAAAATGAATAAATAAAATTGAATGCAGCTTAATTCCCTCGATGTTGCCTTTAAGAAGACTTTTCTACAGATACTTTGACTCTTCACATTATTTATCAGCTACAGAATCAGTATATAAAATCAGACTTGGTTAACATATCGAAATAGAGATAATTTGCATAGTGCACAAAGGTTTGACAGTAACTAAGTCACCGTAGTAAATAATTCTGCAAGTCTTCCAGATTGATGCTGACCTCCTTAGTTTTAAAGGATATAGACTAATTAGAGGCGCACGGTAAACCATCCGCATTAGATCACCGTTTGGTACGCGATTCAACTCATCCACTTGCAACTATTGGCAAGATTAACTCATTTCTTTCTTGACATCCCAACCATCCTCCAAATATACCACCGATCTTCCTCATACCAGACTTCGGATTTGACTGGGTTTCGAAGTCCACAATGTGAAAGTTGTTAAACAAAAAAGAATTGTCAAACAGTGAATATCCGTCACCTGCTTGTACAACGTGATCTAGTACACTCAATACAATACAGTGAATCTGTTCCCTGTCGTAAGTTTTCGTATCTTGAAATTGTTTTTCTTTGCATAATTGTTCTTTCACATAGTTACATATTATTATTTTTTGGAAAAATACAACATCCCGAGGATCAGGACGCTTGCTTTTATGATATTTCTGCTCATATCATTATGGACTGCCAACATCGACTCACGGTTCGGCTATGAAGAAGCTGACTTCCACGATCATGGCGTGACACACTCACGTGTGTGATTCCTTGCTGTAGCAAAGGCACCACCGTGCGAGTTGAAAGTGTAAAAAGAAGAATACAATCGGAACAAAGGTACAGACAACGACAGGCCTAACTTCAACAGCAACCAGTCAAGATCGAGATCGGCAAAACAAGCTACCGGTCAAAAGTGGAGAAATTCGAATGCTTCACTTCGGTCTGAAGTTCATGCTGATGATGTTGTTTAGGAGAGCAATGAAAGCTCCACAACCAAAACATCAAGCTAAGAGAACAAAACCCCACCTTAATCATCCACCGGAGCTTCAAATTTCCTCCACCATCTCAAAGGTATGTTTAATAGTGACGTTTCAATACCTTACGACACCCTGAAATAGCTAGTCTCAAACGTGAAGTCTTAACCTGTCGAGAAAGCTCAAACCAACCTTTCCTCAAAATTGGACAACAGCATAGCTAGGCGACAGTAATAACACCGCTTGTCGGAGAGGCTAACGAACTTTTAATGACATTTTTTTCCAGCAACTTTCATATCCAAACTTTTCAACATTTAAAAGCTTTCCTCGCCTTATTCCAAAATAATATCGTGGACGAACTAGTTACATCTGCCGAGCGGATCCTCGAGATCACCAAAACTATCAGTGCAGAGAGGGGATCAAATAAGTTTAGTACGTATCTTCACAAAACAAATCGAAATCATCAGCCTATGTCGCGAGCTTTCTTAGGATTCAGCACAATGAAGAATGATCAAACCATCTTGGAAAAGCCTACTTCGAAAAAGATCTATTTCTAGACCGTGAGAAACAGATTACGTGAATCAGTTTTGGTGTCACAGAACGTATGGAAAATCTTTCATATAGTTCTGGCAACCCTGATGTTCCCGTACTTTCAGTTCGTCTGTCACAAGCACTCCGAGAAGCTCTCATTCTAGCGCGTTATAATGACAACTGTCACAGGTAGACGAAGCCGTCTCTCTTATATCATTGATTTAATGGAGAATGTTTGCTGCCTCGTTGACAGTGACGCAGACGTCAGCGCCCATCTAGCAAACACAGACGATAGATTTTGTCTTACGGTTTTAAATCTACAGAAAACCAATTGACACTTGTGACAAAATGCAAGCTTCACTCATTTTGTGCTTACAAAAACTCATTCACCGGATACTTGTGGTGGCAAACGTGTCAGTGCCAACGATTAGTATAGACATTATAGAAAGCTACAGCCTGCTACTCAATACTTACAAACTATGTTTAGTGGACGGTAATACTAAGTTATACGTTTATGGGGTTTAATTTAGTGATTGCTGACTTTGCTCAGAGAGGTTTAGACACATAATCGACCTGTTCTTTTTATCGGTAACCGACAGTTAACCCAATCTTAGCTGAACACGACCTCACATGTACAATCAGCAATACCGCTTATCAGCTCCCGGCAACATAATCACCTGTGTCCTCAGAAACCTGACGAATATCTCCTAGGAAGCTAAGACCTGTCATGAGCGAATTCGAACACATGATGGACATAGAGATCAAATAACTATCAAAAATCAATGGGCATCCCCTTTGACTAAGATCCTAAAAGCGAACTGCAACGATTGGTTAAAGAGTATAAACGAATGCCTATGGCAACTGAAGACAATCTCAAAACTTATGATCTGGCGGATCTTAACAAGAATGTCACTACCTCACTAATTCTTGTTATATGAAGACCTGGATTTAACTTCTATAGGTTCTCAACCAGCCGCGGTTCGCCACAACGCAACAGTCGTAACTCGCGACAACTATCGTATTATACATTCCTGAGTCTTAAAGATTATTAAACATTTTATGTGATAAGTTTTAACCACCTATGGGTAGCAAACATATCTTGTGAAATATCTATGTAACTGAGCAACCTTTTACACAAAGTATGTGAGCAATTTTAACATTTTGATCTAACCCGTAAATTGGCATGCCCCTTGCAACATGTTTTTATTCTAGAATAATTTATTATTATTAGAACGGTTATCATCATCCTATTTGAATTCTTAAACTCACCCCACTTCAATGAATTATCATTGAAAACCCTGAAACTATCAATCTGACAAATGAACTCAAGCAACAGAACTTTAATTTTTGACACGCCTAATCTTTCCGAAGTGGTATCGACGCAATGTCTTCAATACGTTGCGCAAACATTCTCATTCTGGTGTATCAGCAAAAATCAAGCTGATGGCAGAATAATTTTATCGGCCTCGGATGAACAAAGACTGGTGGAAAAGAACACTCCCCCGTGTATGCTGCAAGAAATCTTAGGTCATTAGGCATAATGGGCGTCGCTTAAGCACTTTTCTAGCCCATTATACTCATCACAAATACCTTTAGCTTGATTTGCCGGATCACTTATTGGATTAAAACGGATAGTCTTACTTCATGACGTAAGTGTATCGCTTTGAACGATGGTTAGGATATTACTTTTGCAACTACAATCAATGACTTCGTTAAACTATAAGGGTCGAACTTAAGTTGCCTTTAAACAATAACTACAGGTTGTTCCTATTAGTTCATATCTGGACCTTTTCACTGTCCTACGGCACTTCGAGTAATCACAAGTTTCCAAACATCCTCCCACCATCTGCAAACTGAACGTAAAACGGAACAACTCTACCGATAGGTGGAAAACTAACTTACACACAAGCTACTTGAAATTCAGAATAATATGAGAGCCTTTATTCGATAAACTGCATTTTACCCTGTTTAAGGCACGAAACCTCGACTTCTAGGAGAATCTGTCTCAAAGGAAGTAGATTGAAGCTAATAAGCTTACGAACGCAATGTGTAATTATTACTGGCTTCCACTCCCCCGCAACCATCTTATTCATTCTCCCTGCCCGCCTTACCGCTGCATACACATGTCGTGACTCATTAGGCCGACCGCTCTTATTAGCAAAAGAAAGGACTCTATAAGGATCTTTATAGCGAAACCTAGTACTATACTTAGCGAAAAACCTTTTCTGCCTCTACTTCATCAACAGAAAAGCTAATCAAACGCTTCATGATAAGTAGCGAACAGGGCGAAACTTCGCCGAAATCCGACAAGCAAAATGAGACGATGCTCTTTGGGAGAATAATAGTCAAATGAGAAACTGGACAATTACTGTATGTAGAACATTTCAAAAGTGTTATGGATTTTTAGTGGCTTCTGAATTCCGAAGAACAGTTCTAGAAGTTTAGATACGAGCACTTTGTTACGTCCAAGTTTTGCTACTTCCCGTTATTGAAGTACAGTATTTCGATCTATTTGCAATTCACGAACCCAAATTAACAACAGAACGAAACTCCAAATTAGGTACCAAACTTTATTCTCAATTCATAAATAGTCGACCAAAATGTCCAAAAATAATAAATCAAACAAGTTCATAAGTTAAGTAAAACAAATATACCCAAAAACACAGTGAAATTAATGATATTTATTTAAAGGTTTTAATCAGTCAAATGTCTTCATTTCTCGCGTAACACCCTTCCCTGTTAGTCAAACAAGGAAGCGATTTATCTTGGTAAGAAACTGTTATAATAATTATCTATATAATAGAAATAATTACCTGAACAATATTACACTGTTCTGTAACACAATACTTCACACTATGTTTCCAATTCTGAAAGAATGCTTCCGTATAGGTCCAAACTTGCTCCCTTCAAATCCACATTCAAGGTTCACCGCTCAGATTGTCATATCCGATTTAGTTGACGCCATAATTAATATCATTTTAAATAGCATCATACAGTTCAGTAGAAAACATAGAAATACCAATAAAGGTACAAATATAAAAACCATAACAAATACAAACATTAACATCACAAAATGGGATTAAACAGAGTACCAAAATGGATCAAAGAAAGAGTCAGTAAGAACATATTACAAATATATATATATATATATATATATATATATATGTAGGGATTTTCCCAAATCAAGGCCTTCAAATTGGATTCTACAGAAAGCTCATCCACTCGATATCTTTGTTACTGTGTTCGACAATTTTTGTCATGACGTCGGAAACAGAACGTTTTTCATTTGCTTACGTT